TCGAGGCAGCCATCTTTGGCCAAAAGCCTCTAACTCTCGAAGCCACATCACCCAACCTTTCCTGCTTTACCAAAGGTGTGGCCAAGCTCTCTCAGGGATGTGACTTGCCCTGAAAAAGAGAGCTCTCTTGAGAATGTGCTCGAAGTGACCTGCCAAGTGCAAAATGCGGCTTTGAGTCTTCTCTGAAAGGCAGGCTCCATAGGTAGCTACGCCAGCTTCCTGTAAGTACACTTCGAGCACCCTGGTGGACAACCATCGGCCCTTGCGACGCACCAATTCAGAATCTTCTGTCTCCTGCAGGAGGAATGTGGCACCTCCCGGCCTGAGACTTGCCAGGCTGTATGGAGAGAAACCTTCTCGGCGCGTGGTTTCGAGGCCAAGGGCCTGCTGCAGCTGTGCGAACCTCCTCCGCAAGGTAGCCGGTGCACAAGGCCAAAGCAACGCTTCTTTGTCAACAAACCTGAACACCGAGGTCACCAACTGCACAATGTCCGGGTGGTCAACTCTTGAGCACTGATGCCTCGCAGCACTTGCCCTCGTTTTGGGTTGCCGAATACGGAGAATCAAGCTCTGAAAACCTGGCGAAGCTTCAAAGGGCAAAATCAAATCAGCCCTCCGAGCTGCAAACACTTCTCCAATGCGTAGCAACCCTGACCAAGCTAGACAAAATATAGCAGCTTCAGTAGACCAACCCCACAACAATGCTAGCCCTGAAATGGCTAGCAAAACAGGGAGAGGTAGAGCAGGGTGGTGTTCTCGGGGCTCGTCAACTGCCCAGTTGAAAGCCAGGTCCCATGCCATGGCCAACTGCTTTCTCAGCGCAGGCCTCCGCTGAGCCACTGCATTGATCGTCTCTGAAAACCTGCCGTAGGGGCGGCCTGCGAAAAACATCTCTTTTCCAAATGCAACCAATGCTTCGTTGACCAGCTGTGGGTCACACGTCCTGGACTCCAACAAGGCGGCCAGGGTCATGTGAAAATGCTCAACTAGCCAAATATCAAAGTCTTGCATGAGGTTCTCTCGGTGGTTCCTAGTGCGCTGCTGAAGCACTCTGTCAGCTGCAAGGACCGTGCCTGCTCGAGCTCCAGCTCTTTTCAAATCATCTGCTCCCCGAGGCTGCAACGGCATGGCATGCGCGACCGGAAAACTACCTAAGGGGGCGAAACGGCTCCTAAACCCCGGGCAGGCCCTCTTTCCATCGTGTCCCACGTCTGCCAGGAGGCAGGCGACAAGGAGAGAGACAAAGAGGAAGCTCGAAAACTTCCTACTTCTCTTCGGGAAACTGGTGGCCGGTGCGATGATGAAGAGCATAGTGAGGAGCTTGGTGGAGAGAGATGCACAAAGTCCAAGAGTGGACCCAAGAAAGGTCACAAAGTCCACGATGGAAGTCCACGAAACGAAGGAAGTCCAAAGAAGGAAATCCGAAGAGGGAGCTGATGGAGATGCTCCAGCAGGAGAGAAGCGTATGGAAGCCAGCAAGACAAGCCGAATCCAACTGGCCGCCGCCTTCGAGAACTGCAAGGCATGGACAGCTGCAACCTCTTCAATCTGTAAGTGATCTAAGATCGAGTGAGTAGTGGGCACTGGAAGATCTCGGTGCCGGGTTGGTGCATCAGCTGTATTCAACCTAGTAGGAGCAAAGCCAAAGGATGAATGAAGGTTCCCAGCAACGGTCAAGGCGCTGGCTTTCCTGAGGGATCTCTTGAGAGACCTGGCCGATGACCGACCTTTGCCATGAGCACCTTTTGCAACTCTGCTATCCAAGAGGGCAGTAAAACGCAATGAACCACCCTTCTTTACCAAAGCATGAAGTAGGGCAACATAGGCGTGACTCTCCAACACATTGATGTGCCCTTGGTGCTTCCAGGCCCAAACGGATGTAGTCGTCCAAGTCTTTGAGAGGAGAAGATCATTAACGATGACCGACTCTAGGCCTCCAACAGGTGGGCTTTCATGAAGCTTCCTCGACTGCAGAGCCTCAGCGAAGCAAGCGGAGATGTGATCTGCTACTCCCGGGGCATAGATGGCACTCGCTTTCGTGTACTTGCCCTCGATTCTCACATGCTTGTGCCCTCCAGTACATCGAACTGAAAGCTTCTCCGAGCTCAGGCCATAGATCAGGAGTCGAAACTCTTTCTTGTGGATGGAGCCCAGCATGCACGAAGACACAATAGCCTCCTCAAAGCCCAGTGATAGCAGGAAGCGCCAAGCACTGAGCCAAGCCATCTTGCTCAATCGAGGTTGCTCCAAGAGAGAGGGTAGATCATACCTCCACGCAAACCATGCTATGGTCAAACACCGAAAGGCCAGCAGATTTCCCAGAAGGGTCTTCTTCTCCCTCCGATTGAAGCCCAAGGGATTCTCGTAGCTCCTGGAGGCAGGGTGCTGAGCAGGTGAGAAAGTTGTGCAAGGAGGCTCGAGAGCGAGGCTTTTGAAGCGCCTCTCAACGATCATCTGAAAGATCCAATCCAGGAGCTTCTCTGATCCGAGGTCGAAAGCTGCACTCCGACTCAAATCAATAGGAGTACAGACAGTGAAGCCTCTGGCAGCCATTGCATTCGACAGCACACCCGAGCCGCCACAGATCTCGACAAAGTCAAAGGAGAAGTCAAGGGCCTTCTTGGGATGGAAGCTCTGAAAAGGAAGATCCAGGCCCTTCTCAGCCTCAGTCTCCTCTCCTAGGATCCTCAACGTAGCCGTAGCCCCTTGATCAAGCAGGGTGTACGCTCCCTTCCGATCACCTCCAAGCCAAAGTCGCTCAGCCACAGGCTCGTTTACCTTTGTCTGCACAACAGCTCCTCCCCAAGTCGAGGCGTCAGTGGCATAGACATTTGCATCATAGGGGACGCTGACATCTGTGACAGCCAGGAAAGATGCTATTGATGCCAGCACGAGCTCCTCTGCTATAGTGCGGGGAAGGCCAACAACCTCATCTGCAGCTGCTGCTGAGGAATTCCCAAGCTGAAAGATGCCATCCAAAATGCAAGTCAGACACCGCCTGAACATCAGCACTGAAGTCCAATTTCCAGCGAGACGTGCTGCAATCCCTCGAGATATCACCGGAAAAGCTGCTAGCCTCAGTGAGAGCGAAGCCAAAGCAATCCTCTTCCCAAGAGGGGCACCAACTGTTGAAAGACCAGCTCCAAGGACCTTGGGGGTTGACACGACCTCCGCACCGACAGCCTTCATCTCGCAACTAGCTCTAACGGTCTTGTCATCAGAGCCAGCGACACCAGCCTTCTTGTAGATCTCCTCTGCAGTCTCAAGCAACTTCAAAGACTGGGCTTCTTGCAGGCCCGTAGTTACCTTCTCAGCAGAGAGGGTGAAATAGTCATCAATGACAAGTCCTTCCCAAGTCGGTCCAACTGGGAATGGCTGGTTCCTCTTGATCACCCTCTTCTCATGCAGAAGACCTCCCCATTCGAGCAAGGAGGTATGACTCTGAAGCGCGTACTCAACCCCAAGGTGGTCTCCCTGGAAAAGGCTCTTGAAGCCGACGTAGACAGAGTCGAGGCGCTGACCCACCAAAAGAGGAGTCCTCTTTGTTCCCAGGAGATCACCATGCTTCTCTCTGCTGGTGGGCTCCCGTAGCTCTGCATAGAGAACCTCAAGCTCATTGAAGCCAGCAAACCACCTCTCAGGGAAGACAAAAGGCAACATGTTTGTAGCAGCTCGTGACCGACTGACTTGAGCTTGGTGGTAGAAATCTTTTCTGTCAGAGGCACAACCGACAAGTCGCATACCTCGAGGGCAGTGGACTGAAGTCATCAAGACACCTGAGGGCAAATCGGCAGAAGGTCCCCGAGGATGGTACTCTCCTCCATTCATGAAGCGCCTGTCTCCAATCTGTCTGTCAGCCTCCGCACTCTTGTAGGTGTTGAAGACCCGGGAAAAGAAGGCAGACGGCTTGTCAAACAAAGCTAGTAGCCCCTTTAGACTCCAAAGCTTTGCCAGCTTATAGTTCTCCTCAATGGTCTCTCTCACAAAACTCGGGCCGGGCCAAGAGCAAGGATGCCCATGACGTAGGACAAGTGGCTCAACAAATGGCAGCCAGAGAGTACTTCCGTCCAGAAAGTCACTCAGGGGCCAGGTCCCGGTTCCAGAGAGCTTCAAACGACTAGCATCCAAGGAACGATAAGGCAGCACAGGTGAAAACTCCGAGGAAGGCGTGAAATGCTGGTGGATCTGGCCAACCTTCTCATCATTGAAGCTAGCACCTTCACTGTAGCTGCCAAAGTCAAAATTGTGGTTCTCATTGACATACTTTGAAAGCTCAATGAGTCTTGCAACAAATTCCGGTCCTGACCTCCCCGGAGGCAAAGGATGATCTCCGGCTCGATCACTCACCGCTATAAGTCCCCGTAGATGCCGAAAGATCTTCAGCTGCGCCAGACTAGGGGACCTCCTCAGTTCTGAGAGTCGCACAGGTCTCAGGCCATTGTACTGGTAGTTCAAAAAGACAACGAGCACATGTAAAAGCCTCTTCCTGCACAAAGAACTCCACTTCTTCACTCCCAGCCGAGGGCTCCTCTGCTTCTCAAACAGCCCGAACTCGGGCAGAGGCAAAGGGAAGACGGTGGTGCAGGGCTCAAAGCCACTGTAGGTGAGAAAAAACGTTCTGGCCAAGAAAGCAGCAAAGCGTGTCCTGGATCTCAAGGTGAGCCTCAAGAATGAGGAGACCAGCTGCTGGAACGAGATGCTCTGAGTGAGGTCTGCTTCCTCAAAGCAAGGTGTCATACTTGATGGATCTAGTCGACAGGGTCCTCCTCCTGCTTCTTTCCCTTTCCTCCTCCCTTCTTCTTTTTCTTCACAAAGAGAGGGTCTGAAGTGGGAGTGTCTTGCTTCTTGTCTTTTGTCGCCTCCACTCGCTTTGTCTGAATGACGTCCAACTCCTTCAGATACTGCAAAGCCACCGTGACCCACTTTTGGTCTGCTGTTGCAGCAAAAGCCCTCGGCCTTGCTCCCATGGAGAAAGCCCGATTCGAGAAGAGACTCTGAGGTGGGTCCTCGATCAGGGCTAAAAGAGCGGCCACTTCCATCTTTCCATTGTCCATGACCAACTGCTCCATGAAGACAAAGAGAAGAGCCACAGCGTCCTTCGCAGCAAGGTAGTTCTCTGCTTGCATGAAGTCCATCACCATGGCAACCTGCCAGACTATAAAGCCATGCTCCTTGAACTTCCCGAAGCCCCCGAATCTCTCGAGGTACCTCGTTGCCATGACTCCATGCTCTCGTAGTTGAAGGGCTGGGAGTTCCGCCGAGGTAGCAGGAGCCATTCTCCGAGACATCTGCTGAAGCACTGACTGGAAGAAGACTCCCTTGTGTTGTGCCAACTCTTGCTGAAGCTTCGCTCTCCCTATGGCTCCCTTCGACGACACAGAAGAGCCGGCAGCACCCAAGTCCGTCATAGGATCGCTGGAGGAAGAAGCTATCTGGCCAACCAACTGAGTAAGGGCTTTGCTCTGCTCTAGGACCGCTCTTGCCAAGTCGCCTTCTCCCCTTCTTTCAACTCCAACGCAGCCTCTTCTGCCTCCTTCTGCTGAATGCCCAAGGACGTAGGCCGGTTCCCAAAAGATGTACTTCTGGGAGGAGGCATATCCTTCACCAAGGAGCCCAGGGTTGCAGCATTCGAAGATCCATCTATAACTGATGAAGCTAGTGGTTTCCTCAAGGCTGATGGTCTTGAAGCGGTCCCCAAAGCATTGATCGCTCCGGACTCGATGCGAGCTGTCCTCTCCGAAAGGTCCTGCATCTGGCTTGAAAGCTGAGGCAGAACTGCCTGTATACTGGCCATCGTTTCGGCAAGGCTGGCAACTGTCACCCTCGATGACTTCTTTGGTGTAGGGGCCCTTTGCTTTTCTGCGGTGCCAGAACGCCGTGGGCGAGGAGTCCCAGGCACAA